ACGGGCCTCAGCTTCCCGCTGAGAAATGGCCCCTCGCCAGGGTGCCCGGCACAACGGTTTCCAGGGTGCCCGGTGCGAGCATTTTTGGCGTGCCCCCTAGGTGCGGGCTTCGGGCTCCGTCTTGCCCTCCGGCGAGGCGCACCCCGAGGCCGGGGGCTGGCGTGGGGGCGCCGAGGAGTGAGCCCGGCCAGGCTGGGCCAGGCTGAGCGGGTCCGAGCCCGCGGGGCCTCCGGCCCCAGGAAAGAAGGGCCCGAAGCAGGCGCGGCGTGGGGGGCCTCCGATGAGCCGGGGACGCTGAAGCAAGGGGGGCCGGTGGCCTGAGTCTTCACCGCTTCCCTGCCCAGGTGGGAGCCGGGGAGACAATGAGGAAGAGGAGGAAGAGGCAGACGGTGCGCTGGAGCCTCACGGCCCCGCCAACCCCTACCAGATGCACCCCCCGCCCGAGGGGTGCTGCACCGCCGACGGTGAGTGTCCCCGGGGGAGCCCCGTGCCTTCGTTACCCCCTGAGCCGCCCCGGGTGCCATGCATGCCCTCTGGAACCTTCTGGGCTCCACCAGGCTCCCTGCCCCGCCTGCTGCCTGGACGGCCGAGCTGGACCCGGTCGGGACCCGGTCGGGACCCAGCGGCGCTCACTCACCTGCCCGGGCAGTCTGAAGGGGAGGGCGTGTTCCCAGCGGGCTCTGCAACCCTGTGTGGACCGCGGAGCTGGCCAGGGGCCTGACCGCTCACGTCTCGGGGGTCGCAGTGGCGAGGGTGAGGGGCACTCCCGGAGCAGTCGGCTCCGCCCACTGCGGTCTGCCACTGTGGGGCCCGGAGCTGAGGACTGGCCACATGGTAAAGCCCTTCCACGGGGCTTCGAGGAGGAGGGAAGGGCCCCGGGAGGAGGAGGCAGGAGAGCGACAAACGGCAATCTTTAAATTTCAGCTAGCATGAGATGCGCTTTTATTTTAAGACTTATTTATTTATGCACACAAGAGCTGGGGGGCCGGCCAGAGATGTGGGGGTTGAGAGGATTCACCGGAGACAGAGCGGGGAGCAGGAGAGGCGGATCCACTGAAAGCCAGGGCTGAGGGGAGCAGGGGGGAGAGAGGAGGGTTCTGCTGTGCCGGGGTGGGGCGGGGGGTGTCCAACTGCTGCTGAAGCAGCTGGCAGCAGCTTGATAGCGCTGACTGACCCCTGCGCCCAAGGGAGGCCCTGGATAATCTTTCTAAAAGGTGGACAGCAGCATAGGTGGCGTGTGCATGCCACACGGAGAATTCCTCCCCGTCCTCAAGCACGGCGGCAGGACCGGCCCTGTCCGGGGCGAAGGCTGCCCCCCCCCAGATCCAGAGCGTCCTTCTGGGCTCCGAGGTCTGCGCGGGGCGCGCTGACCCTGCCTGCTCCTCCAGGCTTCTGCCAGGCGGGCAAGGACCTGCGTCTGGCCTCCATTTCCAGCGAGCCCCTCGAGGTGCCGGCCGGCTTCCTCCTGGTGGGGGCCAAGTCGCCCAGCCTGCCGGACCACCTGCTGGTGTGCGCCGTGGACCAGCGGTTCCTGCCGGACGACAACGGCCACAACGCTCTCCTGGGTGAGCCGCTCCGTGTCCGCGGGTGCGCGTGGGCGGGAGAGGGAAGACGGGGGCGGGCAGGGGCCCCGGGGCCCCCCAGCCGCCACACCCGCCGACGTCTTCGGTGGACGCTGGATTGGCGCGGGGGCTTCCCGCTTGCAGGTGGAAAGCCTGGCTGGCCTGGCCAGCGCCCTCCCCTCCCAGGGGCCCCTGCCCCTAGCCCGAGGCGGGAGCTTGCCCGAGGGCGCAGCCACCCACCCAGCCGGTGCTCACTCAGGCTCCTGCTCCAAACCCCAGCCTTGACCCCGCCCGTCCTGGTCAAGGTCAGCCAAGGGCGGGCTCTGCCCTGTCAAGGACTCCGGGCCGGACACCGGGCTGCACTCAGCCTCGAGGCCGCTCCTGGTTCCCGCATCTCAGGCCTCTGCTGGGTTCTCGCTGTGCCAGACCTGCGCTCAGCCGTGCCGAGCAGACGCCAGCTTTGGATGCAGAGCCCAGAGGCCGGTTGCTGGGCCCTGTCGCCCACAGGGACCCCCGGGCCTCGCCGGCCTCCTGTACTGGGCAGGTGCTGGGTCCTCGTCTCTCAGCCTGGTGTCCGGGGGAGGCTGGCGGGCGTCTCGGTGGCTGATGACCATCTGTCTCCTTCAGACACAGAGCAGCCTTCTCTGGGACCGGGTGTGTGCGACCGGAGGGGAAGCTCTCCGTTAGAACCCCGCCGTTTCTTCTGTGCGCACAAACACCCTGTTTAGCGCTGATCAGGCCCTAAAGCTGGTGGGCAGACGCGCTTCAGCGGGTGTTTCTGGAGCACAGCTGATGCAGGGTGCAGGACGGGGTGCAGAGGGACCCGGGAGGACGGTCCTGGGGCAGAAGCAGCCAGGGGCGAGGCTGCGTGGGCACACAGGTGAACGCCCGGTGGGGGCGGGGCGGCCCTGCCCAGGGAGCCCCGCTTGCTAACACTGGCTCCTGAAGACACAGATAATCCCTGAGAACTCACTCAGCGCCTGGTCTGGTCGAGTGGCCCGGGCGGCCGCCGGGGAGGAAGCGGCTGTGCCTGGCGTCCTGGCTGGCGTTTGATCTGGTGGGGGGCTGGGCAGGGGGTGCCTGGCCTGAATTCCACCACTTTGTGACTGTAAATGAATTGGAGGGTAGTAAATCAAGGGGGGTCTGCTCCTGAGATGTGGAGACCAGAATCTGTAGCTCATTCACGGGCCTCAGGCAGGGAGCCGGGAGGAAGTGGCGTCTGGTAATTGCTCGCCAAAAGCCATCGGAGGGGGTGACCAGGGAGGCTGGTAATAACCTCCACTTTCTTCTTTACAATAACTTTATGCCCTCAGCTTGCACACTTAGCACTGTTTAGGTTTCCTGCAATTAACCCCAGGGCTGCACAGGAGACGGTCTGGCCCTGCAGGCGCCGGGCGGGCCGCCTAGTGACCTGGGCTGGGGCTCCCTGACTCGGGGTCCTCTCTGCCCCAGAATTTGCCTTTTAGAGAGTCTGGGGTTAGTGACGTAGGCGCCACAGTGGAAGGATGGAAATCGAGGTGCTGCCGTTGGTGATTCCTCTGAGTGGGCCAGCAGCCCCCCGAGGGGGCGTTTCTCGACGGGACCCCACGAGCCGCCCGGCCCCACCCATGGTCAGGCCCCCCTGAAGGTGTAAGCCCAGCCTGAAGGAGGCCCCCGGGGAGCGGTGTCCTCGGTGTCCTCGGCCCCCTGCCGCCAGGCTGGCCCACACCACGCTTAGTGGGCATTTGCCCAAGGTCCAGGCGGGGGCGATGGACTCTCTTTCCCAGCCGTCGGGTCACACTTGCCGGGACTGTGATGGGCTTGATGAGGTCCAGCGGGGAGAAGGGGGCTGCTGCCCATCGGCCCTGGTGGCCGGTTTTCTCTTCCCTTCAGCGTCCTGGGGTCCGGAGTGAGCGTCCAGTGTGCATGGTCCGGGGACCGGGCTAGACTGGGGGCTCCCCTCTCCCGTGCCACAGAGAAGTGGAGGGTCCTTTTATCCCAAGTCGCCGTTCCTTTTGGGGGGGCTTGGCGGAGGGGCCTCAGCTCCCCGGGAGGCTCCGAGGTCGAGGGCCGGTGACCCAGCAGGCAGCTCCCACCTCCTCCAGCTCTGATTTAGGCCCCGCCTGCCCCAGCCCCCACCTGGCCTCCTGCCCCTGCCTGGGCCCCATCCTGGAGGAGGCGCTTCCCTGGCGCGGGGCTCCCCTCTGGGAAGGGGGCTCAGCCCGCTGTCTGCCGTCCTCAGGCTCAGCCCCTCTGCGCAGGCTGCCGGCCACATACTTTGTCCCCCTGCAGCGGCGTGGGCTGTGCTCTGCGGGTTCAGCTGCCGCTCACAGCGCCGCTCAGGCTTGCACTTCCTCGCGCAGGACGGGGGCACGGCCGCCCCCCACCCCGGGAGGCCGCGTGGGCCGTGGCGCCGGGCGGGGGCCGCCGTGGGCTGCAGCCAGAGGAGACACTGGCGGTGATGGCGCCAGCACCGCCCTGAGTGCAGGGACACCCCGCCTCCAGTGAGGAGTCACCCCAACAAGCCCGGGGCGCCTCGCGGCCTCCTGCAGCCTGTGCTCAGAGACGCCCCGGCCCCAAGGCCACAGTTCTCGGGGGGCAGAGGCCCGTTGTGGGAAGGGCGGCCGCAGCGGCCTGCGCAGAACCCCCGGGCACCCGTGGCCCCGTGACCCCCTGTCCCTCGCGCACCTTCTCCCCGCCCCTGGGGCAGGACCTCTGGGGGCTCTCAGTGGCCCCTGGGCCGCCTTCGCTCAGGCCCGGTCGGAGCAGGGCCGAGCGGAACCCCGGGTCCTCACTTCGGCGTCCGGCCCCCTGGACAGCCCCAGGCTGTCCGTGCCGTCAGCCGGCTGAGCGCCAGGGCCGGCCGGCCGTCAGGGGCTCGCGGGGGCCTTAGCCGTTTGCCGGGCGCAGAGAGAATGGGCTTCTGGGAGCCAGGCCAACCTGGCCCTTGTTGGTCCTCATTTCTGTTTTTTATTTTTAGCGCCGTACGCGTCTTTTTTTTTTTTTTTTTTGAGATTATTTATGCACACAAGACCTGGGGTACAGGCCAGAGGCGTGGTGGGGGTGAGAGGGCTCCGCAGAGACAGAGCGGGAGCAGAGTAGGCGGCGGCCGAAGTGCACCGCGGGGGGAGCGCGGGAGCCCGGGGAGGTCTGCCGCGCCCTGCCGGTGGCCCTGGGGCTGCTGCAGACGGCTTCTGAGCGCTGCGCTTTGAGCCGCTGCGCCGCCGAGGCCCTGTCGCTCTGATTTCTAAGACCTTTTAAGAAATGTCTACTGGGGCCTCCCTGCTGGGCTTAAAGCGCAGCACTGAGAAGCCGAAGCCGCTGCAGCGCGAGTTCGATCCCCGCCTGCCCCGGAGCTGACCCACGGGGCGCGGCAGACCCCTCCTGACCGCCCGCGGCTCCCTCAGCAGTGGACTTCGTCCATCTGCCTGTTCTGCTCCCCACTCTGTCTCTGGGAAGCCTCTCAGCCCCCTCACTTCTGGCCTGTACCCCAGTTCTGTGTGCATCAATAAATAAATCTTAAAAAAAAAAAGTGGGTTTCACTCAGGCATCCGGCAGGCCTGTGGCTTCGGCCACGCCGCGGCCACGCCGCGGAGACGCCTCCTCCCCCGCCTCTGCCACCGAGCGAGCCTCGCCCGGGGTCTCCCGGGGTTAGCGGCGCCCATGCCTGGCGCGCGGGCCTCCGTCTGTGAACGTGTGTGCTCGCTTGCAAGCTGGAGAATGTGATGAATAGCTTAGTCTCGGCCTCGGGGCCTCCCCAGCCTGCAGGCCTTGCGGTGGGGTGGGGTGGGGGGCAGCCAAGGCCTGAGGAAGGACTGGCTGGGCGCTGGGAGGCGGGCGGCTGGGGGGGCCGGTCACGGCGCCCCTGGACCCGCAGTCCCAGCAGCGCGGCTTGAGCAGACGCTCCCGGCCCTGAGGCGCCGTCAGGACTTGATGCCCCAGGGGCGGTGGCGGTGTCCCTGGCGGAGCTGGGTGGGGCGGCCCCGGTCAGCCCCGCAAGGCCGCGTGACGCCCGGCTAGCGCGCATCTCCGTGGCGGGGTCCAGAGCCCTAGCCCACGTGTGCAGATTCTCCCAGCGGACCCACTGGCTTGGCTCCAGGGTGGAGTGCTCCAGAGGGCACCCACGGGCCCAGTGTCCACGGGCTAGCTGCTTCCAGATTCTGTCGCTGGCCAGCGGCGGGGCGGTGGGGCATCGTCACGGCAGGTCGCAGCGGCGGAGACGCTTGAACCCTCCACGTGACCAGGGCTGCACGCGTCTCTGGTCAAGGCTTCAAGGCCCTGAAGCCGTCAGTCTTCCCCGACTGAGGCTTTGCCCTCCACTCCGGTCAAGGTCATCCTGACCCCTAGCCCCGGAGATGACGGGTGCTCCCGGCCCCAGGCCGTTCTGGATGAACTGCGTGTTACATGCTTTTCACAGGCAGCAATGTTCAGTGATGATTATTTTACGCCAAGAATTACGCCAGTTCTGATGACACGCGGCGAGGGCAGTCAGATCCCGCTGTCCTCACCCTGGGAGCAGCCACCGGGGCTCACGTGTGGGGGGGAGGCTGGAGGGGGCACCCCTGGGCCCGGCCGACCTGGGGCTCCCCCTGCAGGTTTCTCTGGGAACTGCGTCGGCTGCGGGAAGAAGGGCTTCTGCTACTTCACCGAGTTCTCCAACCACATCAACCTGAAGCTGACCACCCAGCCCAAGAAGCAGAAGCACCTGAAGTGTTACCTGGTCCGCAACGCCCAGGGGGCCCTCACGCAGGGGCCCCTCATCTGTTGGAAGGGCTCAGGTGAGCGGCTCAGCTTCCGTGTGTGAGAGAGAAGGGTGTGTGTGTGTGTGTGTGGGAAGCTGGGTCAGCGCAGGGGCGCCGTGCACAGGGGTGGGTGAAGCGGGTGTCCTCCGAGCGGGGAGCGTGCCCCCACTCAGGGGAGGCCACTCTGCCAGCGGCAGCCCCCTGGACCGGGCCCTGTTGTGTTATCGGTCTGTAACGTCACCTCCTGGTTGCATTCAGCATTGAAAAGTGACAGCCCCCCATGTCCCCCCACTTCTGGGGCCAAGAATGTGGGACTGAGCGCCAGGTGTGGAGCCAGTTCTCATGGTCCCGCCCAGTGGACAGAGGCCAGCGACACTGCCGCACACCCCGCCATGTGGGGTCGGCCATGTCCAGGCTGAGACCCGGGCTGAGTGACGCCCCCGCCCCGCCCTCCCTGCCCTCAGCCTCGGCAGGAGGACAGGGCTGCCTCCGCCCCCGTGGCTCTTGGCCCGTCCCCCTTGACCTTGGTGGAGGGACAGTCCTTGCTCGGCTGTCAGCACGCGGACCGGGGCCCCGGCCTTTGGTCCCTGCCTGTTGAGTCGGTCTTGGGGTGCCGCTGGTGGGTTCCGAGGGAGGAGGCCGGACCTGCGGGAGGCTGGTCCTGGTGCACCGGCTGTCACTCTTCTTCCGCTCTGTCTGCTGGAGCTCCACGTGTCCGGCCACTCCTGTGCCTGGCCGGCAGGGCGTGGTCACCGCGGGGCTCGCCGAGTGCTCACCTCTTCCTGTGAGCAGGTTCCTCACAGCTCAGACCTGCGAGCCAGACGCGCTCCTTCCCTTGGGATCGCTGGGTGGCTCATTTGTATAAGCTGTTTTTCTCTCTTTCCAAAATGCTCCAGACAGAATGTCCCTCTCCCGACAGCTGTCCATCTGGCTGACCACCACCCGCCCCTGCATGAGGCCCAGGGGGTCCTCACCCCTCTACCCCTCCCCCTGCGCCCGCAGTCCCCGGAGCCGGGCCTGGGTGGTCCTCTCTGCCTCAGGCTCTGCCGTGGGCAGACCCAGTCTGGGAGGTCGGTGGCGAGATTGGCGGACACCAGGGGGATCCTGTGCGTTTTGCCCCCCCAGAGTTCAGAAGCCGGCAGGCCTCCGCCAGCACCTGTCCCAGCGCTCTCTTGCCGCCCCTGGAGAGCCCGGCGCCTCTGGCAGCCTTCCCGGGTGAGCCCGCCCTGGCCAACCCCGGCGTCCCCG